TGAGATCTATGTATATTTATCAGTATGAGGCATCCTGTTCCAGTGAGAGATTGAAAAGTTACCCAACGTGTAGAAATAATGTTTTATTTGGGTTTTTAGATTTGGTTATTTAAGCCAGAATTATTGGGCAGCTGGATTAGGCCTTCAAGAATAGATACTAAGAATTTTTAGCAAGTATCATCATGGCAGATTCTACCCTTCAGGCAAAATCAGAACAAATAAAATTACCAGTCTTGAGAGACAGCATGGTATAGCTGATGTAGAGCTGGCCTTAGGGTTCAGAAATGCTGGATTTAAATTTTGACTTTGATAAATGCTGGCTAGGTGGTCTTGGCTAACCAACCTAACATCTCAGTGACTCACTCAGGTGATAAATTAACGTTTAAGGGTTCAGTATAGCCCAGATACTGAGTTTGAACTCAGGTAAATGCTGGGGATTAAAAAAAAAATCCTGTGATCTCAAGGAGCTTACATGCTATCAAGGGAGACAACATGTATGCATGCACATATCTGCATAGATATATTTATATATCTCCATATAGGTATAGATATATATATAAATACATGTATGTGCAGATTAATAAGCTTAAAACCAAGTAAGACTTTTTGGGACATCATCACACACACACATATATATACATATGCACATGCACACATACATACATACACACAAACATATATAAAGTGGGCATCTAGGTGGCACAATGGATAGAGTGCCAGGCCTGGAGTCAGGAAGACTCGTCTTCCTGAATTCAAATCTGGCCTCAGATACTTACTAACTGTGTGATCCTGGGCAAGGCCCTTAGCCCTATTTGCCTCAGTTTCCTCATCAGTCAAATGAGCTAGAGAAGGAAATGGAAAATCACTCCAGTATCTTTGCCATGAAAACCCCAAATGGGGTCAGGAAGTGTCAGACACAATTGAAACAACTAAACAACAGAATTGAACATGAGATAGTTTAGGAAGGACAGACACTATCACTGGGGCAAGTGGAGCTCAGGAACGATGACGCTTGGGATGAGTCTTGAAGGAAGTAAGGTGTTTTTTTATTTGTTTTTGCTTTTTGGTGAGGCAATTGGGGTTAGGTGACTTGCCCAGGGTCACACAGCTAGTAAGTGTCAGGTGTCTGGTCTGAGGCTGGATTTGAACTCAGGTCCTGCTGACTCCAAGGCCAGAGCTCTATCCACTACACCAACTAGCTGCCTCTGAAGTATTTTATAAATATACTATAAAATGATAATTTTATAATGCAGAGTCAGGGAGAATAAATCCCAGTTATGGAGGATGAACAGTGCAAAGACATGGAGATATCACTATGCCAATGAAATGACATGTCCAGTTTAACCTTAATCCTCCTCCCATCCCCACTCCATTAGATGACTTTTGAAGTCCTTTCCAAGAGGATCTTTGGATGGTTTCAGGTACAATGCAGTCATTGTGAAAGGAAATCCCAAGCACCCTGCCTATCCTTTCTGTCACATTTACACACACAGGAAGTAGCATGGTCTACAGTGTTATCTTGTGAAATCCAGAACAGCCCCATGTGCCATCTGAATGACTAATATCTCCATTCTGAAGGACTGGAAATAGGTAGTCCCATAGACTATAGGGAGAAATATTAATATAAGAGATACACACACATGTGTATATATGTTTATGTGTATGTATATATGGCTCTTTATTGTGAGTGTATGTATACATATAGGCATATACATAAAACTATGTATGTATATATGCATACATATATAAATATAAAATATAAATGTGTGTGTGTGTGTGTGTGTGTGTGTGTATGCCAGAAAAAGGGGATCTTTTTTGGCCTTTGATTGCCCTTTTTTCCATTTGACCTCTGCTTTGACCTGGTAGTGATGGGTGAGTCAGACTATCCTGGTAGAAGAATGAGAAGATTTTAAAGATAGATTCTGTCAGAGACTCTCCAGAGACTAATTCCTGCTCATCTCAATTACCTAGGCTCAACACAGCATTCTTCTCAGCTGTTTGAATTGCTGAAAGCAACTGGTGGGAGGGAAGAAAAACGGGTAGCTGGTAAACTTTAACCACCTGACTGATGACATTTCAACAAGGCATTTTCGTGTATACCTAGAGGAATGATTTACGTCGTGCTAAATGCCTTTCCCCTCTTTTGCTGCCTCTCTCTCATTAAGATCTCCTTCAGCCCCACAGCCAAGTTAAGTCTTTAGTAAATCTGGGACTTTGATCTTCTCCAGGGCCTGTCTCTCTTCCACCAACTGTGGTCACTTGGATTCCAGAGGTCACAGGGTGAGCAATAGCAGATTTGGCCTAAGACCTGATCCACATGGCTACTGCGGCCTCCTTTGATGAATCTCCATAGCCAAGTACAATGAGGAAGGGGACCAGAGCTAGGCCTGGGATGTCTGGGAGCAGAACTGCCCTCATTGCTGTCACCTTATTCTGATGACTTCTGCCTTCAGAAGTGAGCAAGATAATCCAGCCTTCAGACCAACTTTATGGGTTTCTGCCCACCCCTCCCCCTTCCCACTTTGAGCTTGTCTCTTTAACTTCATTATAGTCTCCATAGGGAAAGGAGACTAGACTGCTAGGTTTAATCCAGCTGTTACAATATCACATTAGCGGGTGAAAATGATAATAATTTTTAAAAAGCAATGTGGACTTGGAAGGAAAACCCTTTTTAAAAAATAGATTTAAGTATGTCTGAAGGTAACATGGCCAACGGAATGGTTATAGTAGATGAAAGCCCGTGTTTTGGCCTCTGCCATATTTGGCCCTTTAAACTCATTCATTGGCAAAAACCTTTGACTATGCCCAGTTTTTCCTTTTTGCTTAATTAGTGTTTTACCTGTTTGGTCATCTTAATAATAAGAATTTAAAATACATAATGATTTATAAGCACAAGGAGCTTCCACATGTAAATTATTTAATTTAGTTCTTATAATAGTCCTGTGAGGTAGGCACTACTATTGGCTTATTCTGAGTACCATTCTATAGACAAGGAAGCTGAGGCCCTGAGAGGTTAAGAGACTTTCTCAAGGTGGTATGGCTAGTATAGGGAAGAGCCAGGACTTCATTCTGACTCTTTTGACTATAAGTCCGACACTTTTGACCCATCAATATGCAGGAAAAAAATCAATAAACAAATAAGTCATTTGGATATCACTGGTATTTTATAATCATGGCTTTCTTCTACAAGAATTTTATCTGATTTAAAGTGTGAATTTTTCCCTCATAGACTCCAAGGTCTGCAAGTGACCTCAGAGATCATTCAGTCCAATTCCTTCATTTAACAAATGAGGAAACTAAGTCCTCGTGAGGTTAGTGGCTTGTTCCAGGTCATGCAGTTGATAAGTATCTCAGAGGCTGAATCTGAACTCAAGTCCTCCTATTCTCAAGAATATTCTCTCTCCACCATACCAAACTACCTTCAATCCTTTCCCCTGATTAAAAACAAAATCTTCTTTTGAGGGATCAGTTCGCATTTTCACTGGCTTCTCCACATCTCACTCATTTTCACTGTCTTTAGTATATGACCAACCACCCAGGAGACATAAAGTAGAAATTAGAAATGAATATAAAAGTTCTTTCTCTCTTCACTGAGAGAGACTGTGGAATCTATGTTGAGATCATAAAAATAGAATAGACTCAGCTACTGGGAACTATTTAAGTGCGCTTTCTTTAGAACTAAGAAGATAATGATGATCCATTTCTTCAAATGTCTTTTGGCACTGGGAATTGATGAACTCATGAGCTCAGCTATATGTATGTCTGACAGTGTCAAATACCATGTGGTAGCAAAGGACTTATGTTTCTTGTCCTTATTGTTCTTGTCTTCTCCTCCTCCTCTTCCTCTTCCTCCTCCTCCTTCTTCTCTTCCTTCTCCTCTTCTTTAGTGGAAAAGCATCATAGTGATGAGGCCTTTTGAGAATTAGGAATCCCTGGATCTTGACGTATAACTACTTTACTCTTGAAAACATGATACATACATTTAGATTCTGGGAAATCAGATTACAAAAAAAAATTAAGATGAAGGATAAATAGGATATAATGACCTAATTTCATTCAGGGGAAGTCAGCACAAGGACAAGACATGCTCAAGAATAAAAAAAGATGGGGAATTGTCTAGAGAGAGGAGGTTACATAGGCTGGATAAATTTAAACTTAGATATTTTTAAAAAGACATTCAGAAGATGGAAGCAAAGGAAGAGATTGGAGGATAAATAGAAGCAGCATGGCATAGTGGATGGAGTGCTAGACTTGGACCTAGAAGATCCAGCTTCAAATTCTGCCTTAGATACTTGGTAGCTTTGTGACCAAAGAAACTTGGGGCAAGTCATTTAACCTCTCTGGGGCTCAGTTTCAACATCTGTAAAATAAAAGCTTGGGCTACATGATATCTATGGCCTCTTCCAATTCTAAGTCTATGATTCTATAGAATACAAAGAAATAGCTCCCAGAGTCTCAGAATCACAGGATATAAAGAATTGGAACCTCAATGACTATTTAGTGACATTGAACCCATATCAGAATAAGATCCCCCCTGTAGCATAGCCAACAAGTAGTCACCTAGATTTTTCTTGAAGACCATAGTTGAGTGGGAGCCTACCAAATGCAGGGGTGGTCCAGTTAATTTTTAGATTGCAATAATTGCTAGGAAATATTCCATCTTTTCAAACCCATATCTCTCCAATCTTGCACTTGAGAAGGTGATATTTTTAAACCCAAGTGTACAGCTTTACACTCACAACTATTAAATTCCACCTTACTGGATATTGACCATTGTAGCCTCTCAAAATTTTTGGGATCCTGGCTGTCATGCACCATATGTGCTATCCCTCCTCACTTTATTTCTTCTACAAATCTGACAAAAAAACCAAAGCTTCAGCCAAGGCATTAATTAAAAATGCAGAACAGCACAAGGCAAAGGACAGATGCCTGAGGTCTACTGCATTAATAACTCCTCATTTCTTCTTTATAGGAATTTCCCATCTGTTTCTTCAGAATCTCATTCTTAAAAGTTTCTTATCTTTGGGCTAAGTTCCTCTGGATGGAATTAGGTCATGAAATCTGGCCTATCCTTCAAGAAGATATCATCTCATTAATGATCATCTTTGTATCCAGTCATTCAACCAGTTCCTGAGCCCATGTAACTGTACTGTTATCCACCCAACATCTTTCCAGGTTGTCCACATAAGAGGTATTGTCAAATGCTTTGCTGATATAAAACATATAGCACTTCCCTGATTTAGCAGTCTAGTTACTTTGTCTAAAAAGTCAGTGAGATTAGTCCATAAAGACTATTCTTGATTAAGTCATGCTGCCTTATAGTGGTTGATGCTTCCCTCACTAAATTCAATTCAACAAATATTTTTAAGTGCTTGTTAGGTGTAAGGCACCCTGTCAGGTGCTCTAGTCATTAATAGATTGATACTAACAACCTAGCAGTATTTTCTAGACTTTTTCAGGAATAGAAGTCAATCTGACTGGCCTGTATTTTGCAGAAAGGGTCATTTTCCCAATTCTGAAAATCAAGACAAGATTTTTTCACTTCTTATCCTCTACTGTTCTTTCAAAAATGATTAAGAGATTTTCAGCAATCATGTCACTCAATTCTTTTAAAGCCCTAGTATTTTATCTATCCAGGCCTTGGTGACTTGAATTCATTAAGAAAAGCTATACCTATTCTCTTACCATATCTTCACTTATCCATAGCTTTTAATTTCCTGTTTACCTTTTTTGGTTCTATTCTTCCAAAATCAAAATTCGTTCTTCTTGAAAGAAGAAAAAGAAACGAATAAGAATTTGAAGTGTTAGCCTTTATATAATGGTCTATTATTGACATGCCTTTCAGATCATTTTACATGAGAATTGATTGAAAGAATTGGGAATGTTTAGCTTGGAAAAGGAAAGACAGGGGGAACATGCCATCTGCCTTCAAGTCACATAGAATAGGGATTCAACTTGTTCCACTTGACTACAGCAGACAGAATGAGGAACAATGGGTGAAGATTGCAAAATAGCAAATTTGGGTTTGAAAAGATGGAATATTTCCTAGCAATTATTGCAATCTAAAAATTAACTGGACCACCCCTGCATTTGGTAGGCTCCCACTCAACTATGGTCTTCAAGAAAAATCTAGGTGACTACTTGTTGGCTATGCTACAGGGGGGATCTTATTCTGATATGGGTTCAATGTCACTAAATAGTCATTGAAGTTCCAATTCTTTATATCCTGTGATTCTGAGACTCTGGGAGCTACTTCTTTGTATTCTATAGAATCATAGACTTAGAATTGGAAGAGGCCATAGATATCATGTAGCCCAAGCTTTTATTTTACAGATGTTGAAACTGAGCCCCAGAGAGGTTAAGTGACTTGCCCCTACATATTAATTGCACCTTCAATTCACTGGACGTCTTTAAGCAGGAACTGAATGGAGACTTGCAAGTGATAGATAAAGGGAATTCTTGATCAGGTATGGGGTTGGACTAGATAACAGTCAATGGCCCTTCCAATACTTAGTTTCTGTCCTGTTGTCATTCATTCTGTAAGGAAGAACTATCCAATACATAACTAAAATAGTATGAAGATCTCTGCTCACTAAGAATACTTCTGGTATTGGAGTCAGAGAATTTCAGTTTGATTCCTGGCTTTGTTACCTACTAACTGTATGACCTTAGATAAGTCTCTGGGCCTCACTTTCCTCATCTATAAAATAAGAGGTTGGATTATATGATCTTTAATACCATCCAACTCTAATTCCTAAGATCTCATTATCTTCCAGAGAGCTAGCCTTCAGAAATTGTGTTTGCCTTCCAACTTTCACTGAGACAGGTAAGCCTCAACAGTGACATAAATTCTTGACCCCCAGCCAATATTTGAATGATGCTGTACCTGGAAACCCAACACATCCTAGAGATCTGACTATCTGCCCTAGAGAATCCCTTCCTTTAGTGGGCACCCAAGCAGTAAAGTGAGACATCTGATCTCTATAGCTATGCATATGTATATCACCCTCAGTATTTCTTAGTTTGAAGGTATAAGATCCCTGTTGCTGGGAAAGCTGTAACTAGTGCTGCCTTCAAGATGGAATAATATACAATTTTATGTGAGTAATTTAGTTGTTTAGCCTTCAGTGAAACAATAACCAGAGGCCTCTCAGAAGTTACGTAGTAATAAATTGTTTTGCATTGAACTCCTCAAAAAGTATTCTTAGGAGCCTGGGAGATCCTTATTAGCTACATCATTGCAGAGGAATTATGTTTAAAAGGCCTTTGAACAGTGGGGAAAATACTAAGGATTTCCCAAGAGATGCTGGGTGGACTTCATCTGTCCAGTTGGGCTAGCCTCCAAATGTTTGACTTGAAAAAGAAATTCCACCTTAAAAGCTTATTTGCTGATGGTGCCATGCCATTCTCAAGGGGCTGAAATAAATGAATGTTGGAATGAGACACATTTGTGATTGTAACGATAATAACAGCATCCCCACCCCCCCCAAAAGTGATGGTGGTAGGAAGAGGATATTGGTTCCCTATTTTCCCAAGCTAGCCAAGTTTCCTACCTCCTTCTTTCTTTTCCAGTGAGAAAGTATGTATATCTTTCTTTAAAACATAAACACATAGAGGCAACATTTTTTTTTTAGATTTTTTGAGTTCTTCCTTTATATACACTAAATCACACCAACATTTGGCCAATTTGATTAATGTAGATAGCCAATTTGGATCATACAAGTTCCAAAGTAAAGTTTATGTTTGGCCTTGGTCACTGAATCACAGAATTTCAGAACTGAAAAAATCCTCTTAATGCAAGGGTTCTTAATCTGAAGTCTAGGAACTTTAAAAAATAGTATTTTGATAACTGTAATTCAATGTAACTGGTTTCCTTTTTAGTCCTGTGCATTTTGTTTTATGTATTTAAATTTTTCTGAGAAGGACCCTATAGACTTAACCAGATAGCTAAAGGGGTCCCATGATCTAAAGCAGGCTAAGAATCCTTACCCTAATAACTCACGTTTATATAGTGCTTTATGGTTTGCCAAGCACTTTACTTATCTCGAAATGATCCTGTAAAATCAGTGCTTTTATTATCTCCATTTTGTAGAAAGAAAAACTGAGGCTGAGGAAAGGCAAGTGGTTTGCCCAACTTCAGTGCAAGTAAGAGTCAAAGTCAGAATTTGATCCTAGGTCTTCCTTACTCCAAGTCCAGAATTCTTTCCATTGGCTCATACATCAGAAAGAGCCTCAGTTCTTGTTCCACAAATACCTGAAAGTACCTCTACAACATGACTGAGAATGGATCATCCAGTCTTTGCTCAAAATGGCACATCTCAATTTCAAAAAAGGTCTTATAGATGTCTTTTATTTTTACACCACATTCCTGTACTGATATATGTTACTTCCTACCCACACTGTCAGAAGGGATGATTAAAAGAACAGTAGTTAACCAAACCAACCAACATAAAAATCTCATTAAATAGCATGTGCAACATTTGGTACACTTAAAGGAGAGAATTGTTTCATCATCTGCTCCTAGGGACCAAAGAGGAAGGGGAAAGGGAACAAGCATTTATTTAGCACCTACTAAATGCCAAATACTTTAGAAATGTTATCTCATTTGATCCTCACAACAATCCTCTGAGGTTAGTGCTATTATGATCCCCATTTTGCAGCTGAGGAAAGTGAGGAGGCCAGAAATCAAGTGATTTGTCCAGGGTTATCTGGCTAGTAAGTGTTTGAGGCTGGATTTGAGCTCAGGTCTTCTTGACTCCAGGCCCTGTGCTCTGTCTACTGTGCCATTTGCCCACCAAGATTGGTCATTGTGACTAATCTAATTCAACTGCTATTTTTTTTTTGCTTTTAGGCAATTGGGGTTAAGTGACTTGCCCAAGGTCACACAGCTAGTAAGTGTCAAGTGTTGGGTCTGAGGCCGGATTTGAACTGAGGTCCTCCTGACTTCAGGGCCGGTGCTCTATCCACTGCACCACCTAGCTGCCCCCATCAACTGCTATTTTTATACATATTATTATAGTCATGAGATATATTTTTCTGTTTCTGCTTACTTCTCTCTTATTTATACAAGTTTTCCCATGTTTCTCTGAATTCCTCACATTTTTCAACCAATCAATTAATCATCAACCATTTATAAAAGTATTTATTAGCCCTTTGGGGATCAAGAAAGGCTTTGTGTAGCAGTTGGAACTTGAGCTATATCTTAAAGGAAAATAATTATTCCATGAGATGAAGATGAGGAGAAAGTACATTATAGATCTGGTGCAAAGACATGGAAATGGGAGTTGTACTGGCATTGTGAGAACAGAGAGAAGGCTGGATCATGGAGAGGGGGAGAGGGAGTGATATATGATAAAGCTTCAAAGATAGGATGGGGCTAGGTTATGAAAGGTTTTGAAGGCCCAAAGAAAGAGTTTAAATTTGATTCTAGAGCAGGGGTTCTTAACCTTTGTGTGTATCATGTAGATGTCTTTGACAATCTGGTGAAACCAACAGGTGGAACTCTTCTTAGAATAACACTTTTAAATGTATAAAATAAAATTAATAGGATTAGAAGGAAACCAATTATTTTGAAATATAGTTATAAAATATTTTTTAAAAACAAGTTCACAGGCTTTAAGTTAAGTAGACCTGTTCTAGAGGCAATAGGAAGCTCTCAGAGTTTATTAGAGGATTCTCATAGTCCAATAAATTGATATATCAAAATTTGTTGAAGTATTCCCCAATCAATGAGCACACACCCTCCCCCCACCTTAATTCCATGTTGGAATGACTCTAATTAAATTGGATGATCCAATTAGCTTATCTGGGCTATTCAGATCAATCAATACTCAGGCATTTATTAAATACTTGCTCAGATACTATACTAGGCCCCTACACGCAAGGAACTTTTATTCTAACTGATGACAACCAATTAAGCAACCAAATCAACAAACAAATGTTTATTGAGTCCCTACTATGTGTAGAGCACTGTTTTAGGGAGTTCTGCCCTTACTTTCTATAGTTGGGAAAAACATAAAATATATATATATATATATATATATATATATATATATATATATATATATATAAATATACCTAACCCCGACAATATTGGAAAAGTGGTAAGTGTTTGATATAGATCATGTGTTCATTACAATCATTCCTGGGGCAGGAATGTCATAGAATCATAGATTTCAGTTAGAAGTGACC